CCGGCGCCCGGCCGCTGCCTGCCCCGCTGCAGCCAGCATCCCTGCGAGCGGTGGAAACTTCTCCCCGGAGCGCGGGCCGGGCGGACAGCGGTCCTGCCCGGAGCGCAGGGGGCCGCGTGGGTCACCGGGGAGTCAGTCTGGGGGGACAGCATCCGAGGGCGCCCGGAGACCACTGCGGGAGGTTATTGTGTTTGGGGGTGAAAAATGCATCTGCCGCCGAGTTCCTGCCTGCTCCCCTCCCCCACGCATGAGCCGTGACATTGCTGCGGCCACAAAGGAGGAGGTGGAGGTGGAGATGGTGGTGGAAGAACAGGTGGCCAACACCCAGCACGTCAAGCCCGTGACCTGCAGTGAAAAGGGAAAAGTTAATCCCAGAAGGTCTGTTTTGCTTTGTCAAGTTAAAGCACAGGAAGAAAAACCCAAAGAGCAGAGCAGGGCTTTTTTTTTTTTTTTTCCTTGATAGTCAAATATAGACAGCAATAGTTAAAATGGTATGAAGTTTAATGTTCCTTTTCTGGTCCTTTCCTCCATCTCTTCTATATTTCACCTTCGTCCGTACGGATTTGTTCCCTATCAAACATTACTCACACGATTTTTCAAATTGTAGTCATCGGTCAGCTAACTATATGAAATAAATGCTTAGACCTGTGCATGGTACAGCCAAAGTCCTAAAGCCAGTCTTCCTAAGCCGGTACGCAGGAGAGCAAGGGATTAAAAACAGAGGTGTTTTCTAGTTGTCACACAGTGTATATGTTATGTTTGTAATGGAAGGTCATCTAAAAATGATAAAGGAGTAGTCATCTCATCATCTCTGTTCGTAATAGTCATCTCAGAATTAACCATATGAATGGTGTCACTCTGAGGTCCAAAAGGCTGACTCCTGCGTGTAATAAGAGTGTAGACTTCAGATATGCTGGATATCGGTATGTTTACTTTGAGACTGTAGGCATCCACAAGCATGTTTGACTTAAAGGAATGATAGATGGTGATTCAGTTCTATATTATTCAGTTCTATTATTATGAAAATGGTTTTTTTCCCTTAACAAAACTATTGGGTTCTAGTCCCAGGTGTACCCCTTACTACCTTAACTATTGGTGAAGGTAACCCTTTCTGGCCTATCGTCCTCCTTCTGTAGGACCCCTTTGGAGCCCAGTTCCTTCCAGCGGATTTAAATATTACTTGGTTTTAAAAACCTGACTCAAGAATTTTTTTTCCCCCAGCAACAACTGTTGCATAAATAAGTAGACCAGAAGGTGTGTGTCTCTGATTACACATGCACGTACAACTAAACTCCAGTATAGTATTCGTCCACAGCGTATCCTGTACCAGCAAACCTTTTGGTCTTGAGGACTCTTTTACATTCTTAAAAATTGTTGAGGGTCTCAAAAATGTTTGATTTGTTTGGGGTCTTATCAATATTTACCATATTAGAAAAAAGAACTTTGAAATTGTATTCATTCATTTAGAAATAGAAATAATAAGCCTGCTATTTGATAGTGTGAATACATTTTTTAATGAAAAGTAACTGTTTCCCAAAGGAGAACCAAAAATTAGTGAGAAGGGTGGCATTGTTTCGCACTTTAACAAATCTGTTTAATTATGTGCTTTAATAGGAGACATCTGTATTGTCCTATCTGCATCTGCATTCAATCTATTGTGATCACACAGTCTGCAGAACTCTACCAGACACTTGTGAAAGAATGATAGTGAAAAAGCTAAAGAAATCTTAATAGTATTATGAAAACAATTTTGACCTTTGGGGACTCCAAAGGAGGTTCCTCAATTGCTGTTACAAGCTTTGCAAACTTCATGTTTAGGTGGGGGGTAAGGCCTGCAGGGAGCTAAAGGCCATATTTTCATGTGATTCTTCTCATCTCTCCGCTGCGGCCTGTATTTGGAATAAAACATACCAGACGGGGTAAGATATCTATGCAGTGGCCTTCGTCGCAGCCCCAGACAGTCAGCAGTGCAGGTAGATGGGACCGAGCAGGGCAGAGAGCCGTCGGGCAGATCTGTGATACAATAGTTTTCCAGCCTGTAGTGCTGTTTCTGAGGAAGTTCAGGAGTAAGGTGAGGTTAGTGCACTGGAACAAATTAGCTTTATTTTTTCTTGGTGTCTGTTTGGATAATTCTCAGTCTTCAATAAATAGGATGCTTCATGAGTTTCGTGTTTTGTGCAATATATACACATTCACTGATCTAGAACTACTTATTCTAGATGAGTGGGTGGGTCATTCTTCCTGCATTTCTCTTTATTTGTAATTGTACGTCCCATGAAGAAAAGGCATAAAAGTAAATGTGTTCATTTTATTTCAAAAAAGTTGGGGCTGGGGATTTAGCTCAGCGGCAAAAGCGCCTGCCTGGCAAGCGCAAGGTCGTGAGTTCGGTTCCCGGTACCGGAGAAAAACAAAACAAAACAAAACAAAACAAAACAAAACAAAAAATTTCGAAAAAGTTTTAAGTAGCGGACTAAAAACTATCAGATTTTAGTTTCTCTCTTGTGATTGTCAGCTGTACAGATTGTCAGTATTTATCGCACCTGTTGAGAAATGACTTACCAGAGTAAGTTAGGTAGGGGGGTTACTCAGAAATGCACGCTTACGTCTTCACAATTTTTTCTTACTAAAAGTAGTATTTATGTCTAAATTTTGTTTAATCACATTTTTCTTGTACAAAGGGCTGCTGAGCAGCACTGATACAGGAATATGTATCGTGACTGAAGACCAGATCACCTATACTGAATAGTTAATCTAAAATTCTTAGTTTTCTGAGTTTTTACTTTTGTTTTTCTCAGCAGGTATCTTATTTCTCTTTGACACAGTTCAACTTTGATCCTAGAAACTATATGTAATTTTTGCTACCTATCCAGAACTATGATGATGTTTTTAAAAAGTTTTCCAGTCAGGCATGGTGGCACAAGCCTGTAATTCCAGCACTGGGGAGGCTGGGGAAGAGGATTGCTGCAAATTTTAAGGCAAGCCTGGGGCTACACATGGAGTTCAAGGCCAGCCTTGAATACATAGTGAGACCCTGCCTCAGAAAAAAGGCTTTCCATAGCTCCAACAAAGATACTGTTAGCATATCTCCTTCTAGTTCTTACAAGCCAGAATCAGCTAAGAATACTGCAAGGAGAGGAGCAGGAATAGCTGTCAACAAGTTTGTGCGAGTGTGTCTGTAGGGTATAGAGCACTGTGGGAGACTCTTGTACTGAGGGAAGTCATGGTGTGTTCCTATGAGAGCCATTAGCTGCTGCACACAGCTAGTAGATAGAACAACCCGAATATGATAAAAGAACTGGCTATATTCTCTAGGCATGCTTCTTAATATTGATGAGGGAGTTTGTAAACGAAGTATAATTCACTGTAGTACATATCTCTAGTCAGCTGAGGTTTTCATCATTGAATTTCAGCATATCTTACAATTTTCCAAGTAAAGGGGATTCGTGTTAAAAGTTATTAATAGAGTATTGGATAGTGTGTTAACCTCATGTGTGATACATGTTCTAATTTAGTAACATTTTCATTATTTTTGTTATAAGGCCTGCTGAAAATGACTGAATATAAACTTGTGGTAGTTGGAGCTGGTGGCGTAGGCAAGAGTGCCTTGACGATACAGCTAATTCAGAATCACTTTGTGGATGAATATGATCCTACAATAGAGGTAAATCTTGTTTTAATATACATTTTACTTGTGCAGGACCATTCTTCGGTGCCAAAAAAAAGGTTTCTCTGATCATTTTCCTGAGTTCTTTTTACTGAGTAATTCTAGGGGAAGTTACTGAGTTATCTGAAATGTCCTTGAGTTTGAAGACTTTAACTGAAGTTATATGTAGCCATAGATATGGGAAGCCCTGTTTCTTGAGGAGAATGTGAAGGTCTGTGAAGTTTACTCTCAACAGTGTATGAAGGGCTGGGGGCATAGCTCAGCGGCACAAGTGCCTGCTTGGCAAGTGCGAGGTCCTGAGTTCGATTCCCAGTACCAAAAAAAACCAGTTTATGTATATTTGGATTGAAGAGCTTATGAAAGTTTTGTGAGGGGGCTAGGGATTTAGCTCAGCAGCAAAGCGCCTGCCTGGCAAGCGCAAGGTCATGAGTTCGGTTCCCGGTACCGGAGAAAAACAAAAAACAAAAAACAAAAAAAAAAAGAAAGTTTTGTGAGAGGTAAAAATGTTAATTTTTATTTTATTTGTACCTAAAAGTCATTCTTTTGGATGTAGCTTTCGTTTGTATAGGTTTCTTTGAATTTTGATGTCACATGTAGAAGTTAGATTGAAAGCACTGGTAAAGAGTAATCATTTGATGGTTGTTGTTTAAACTTAATAAGTGTTTCCCTTCAACTTTAAAGTAATGGAGAACCTGCAGTTACCTGATGCATTTTTAAAAGCTCATTTTTTGCCTAAGATGTGATTGTATAAAAATATTAGTCAATCCTTACCCTTATTTTGTGATCTTTTTAATTTACTCAAGAAAATATACATACATTTTTTAAAATACAACTTGATTGGTAAGCTGTTCAAGATTACTGTATTATTTTGAGGGTGTTAGTTTCATGAAACTTAGCAAAGTAAAAGCCAGTAGCAAATTGGTGCAATAAAGTCCTAGAAGAGACCTTGAGAAGTCAGGTAGAGTTCATACTGGATGTGGCAGCACTGACTGAAATTATCCCAAGCCGATAAGGATTTATTTAATCCCAAAGAACTGCAGGAGATTCAGTAACTGTCTTGTTAGCTCATTGTTGGTAGGTAATCATTAGCATACTTTATGAATAATCCAAATGTGCATGTTAAATTTATCATCAGTGAGAGTAGAAATAAATACGTGGACTTTTCTGTGAAATATCCTTATGTTCTTAGATTATTTTTTAGGCATCTTTACTCTAGGTTGTGCTAAGCTAAGCCCTAGCTTTTATTTTTATTGTAATGTACCAATTTTAAAAATCTGTCCTGAAGAAGCTCCCAGATCTTCCTGTAAGTCCCAAGCTGTGGAATCTAGAGCAAGTCACAAGTCCCTGTTCAGGTCTGTGCTGTGTCATACTTTGAAGAAACCCTTTGCCCTGAGTTGGAGTCTGTAGCATGATGAATGGCCTTGGGAAAATGTTTATGTACTTTAGAACTGTGTAGATTGGTTAGATTACTGTCCATAAGGAAATATCAAACATTGTTGGTGGTACCAAAAAAATGGAGGAGTAATGTCTATTCACAAATCTTTGACTTAAAGAGGCAACTTTTGTTTTCCAAGTTTAAGAATTTGCATTAGTAAAAGAGAACACTAGTTAAAAGTCGACCTGTGTAAGAGTCTGTATACCATCTTTAATTCTGATGATTCTGTGCTATAATACAGTTTTTGTTTTTTCTTTGAGGAAGAAATATTTCACCCATTTCAATCTGTATTCCAAATCCAAACGTACTTGGCATACCTTTACGGTTTAAATCAGGTGTAAAGAGAACTTTTAACAGAGTGCAGATTAAGCATGTAAGTTTTCCTGGGATTTGGAAGCCCTCATCTTCCCTGAAAATCTGAGAAATTCCATTATGCTCTGTTTCCTATCAGAGGTCGTGAATGCTGTATGAATGCATGTAACATGAGGTCATGCATGCATGAATGTGATAAAATACGTTAGGAAACGTCTTGCTCAAAGTTGTCAAAATGCAATATAAATCCTGCATAAACAAAGCCAATACTTAATCCATTGTTTGTGGGAAAAGTAGAAAATGTTTATAAACTTAAACTCATAACTCTGATTATGATTTCTCCTAATCTACACTTGACTCTGGGAAGCACTATTTACCTGTGAACTTTGAGACTGACATTCCCTCATGTAGTTAAGCCACCTGAGGACAGGTGTCTAAAATTATCACTTACCACCCAAGCTACGTTGAGTCCGAGGAAACTGACACCTTCAGTTCATGGTATTGCTCACACTGTAAGAACGGCAAGAGAATTTAACGGTTTAGTAGAATTGATGAACTAAATATGTCAACGCTGTTACTGTAAAAATGTTAAGGAGGATAGGAGATTTCACTGCTGTTGTTAGATTCTGACTGACAAATAATGTGGTCAGAAAGAAAAATAGAAAGGCTGTAGACATTTCATACTTGAAATTCTTGTCAGTTTTCCTACATTAAAATAAAATGGAAAAAAAGACCAGGGGTATAGCTCAGCAGCACAGTGCCTGCCTAGCAAGCATGAGGTTGTGAGTTCGATTCTTGGTACAGAAAAATAAAATGGATAGCTGGGCGTGATGACATACACTTGTAACCCCAGCACTTGGGAGGCCAAAAGAGGAGCATGACAACTTCAGGGCCTACCTGGACTACATACTGAGATCCTATATCCATAACTCCCAAAATAAAGATACAGAAAGAAATTTGTAAAACATTTAAACCCAGTAATACCATATTTCTAGTGATTTAGAATTTGCAACGAATTACAGTATAAGGTAGATAAGGAGCTGTAGTCATTGTGTCTTTCATTTTAGAGATGAAAGTGGTCACTGAGAGGTTCTGACTCTTCTGAGGATACTTAGTGGTGGGATTTCAATTTAAATTTTCTGAAAAAAGTTAAGTGAAATTTCTACCATACCTTGTATTACTTTATTAAAGTAAAAAATTAGCTGTGTTTTAAACTAAGAAAATACTAACGTAGACTACTTATGATGTCTTAATATACTGAAATTTGAATTTAGGCTACTAATGGCAACAATGGCAAAGATACAGTAGAGAATTAGGCATGGCCAGGTGTGGTGGTACATTCCCGCAGTCTCAGCATTCAGGAGGTTGAGGCAGGAGGATCACCATGAGTTCCAGGCAGGCGTGGACTACGAGCTAGACCCTATCTCAAGAACAAAAACAAACAAACAAAAGAAAACAAGAATTAGTCATAGCAAATAGAGTATGTTTAGAATCAAGGATATGCTCATGACAATCACTTAGACTTCTGAAGATTTTATTTTTGTCTTTAATGAAGTCCACCAGTGTGTTTCAGAAAGTAATGACAACCTGTTAGTAAGGCAAGATTGGAAAGAAATTTGTAAAAAAAAAACTCATAGGTTAGTTAGAAATGTGTTCTTACAGTATAGCAATCACATGTTATGAAAGCATAGTCCTTGAAATGGGTTTTCCCAAGGTAGAATTTAGTACAAGGGAAAAAAACTTACCTTAAAAAACTATAAGAACTTGTAGAGATCAAGTGAGCAATGAGCAAATACATATTGAGCATCACACATAATATGCTCGTAAAAAATATAACAAGAGGCAGTTTTTCTCAGCTCTAGTTCTCCTGAAATCTGTATACTTTGTTAAGGTGGCATTTGTAATTCAAGTACTGTACTATGCTCTTTGATGAAACAGTTATTATTTAGTCAGGAAAAGTGAATTCATAATTGGATCCATTTGTTCTATCTTTAGTGTTTTGGGCCAGGTGGTATTTAACCAAGGTTTATCAGTTTCTCTACTTTGTGTTTTCATGTTAATTGTAAAATTGATTCTATTCGCAGAGTAAGGTTTTTAGATTATACTGTGTAAAAGTCTAATATTAAACCTTAATGGAAGAGCAGTATAAGAAAAGCCGATGTAATGTTCTAAGCTGTTATTTTACTGATTTTCATATAAGTACTTATCAGTGAGACATGGACTGGTGCCTTTGCCCTTCAGGGAACGTTTTCAGTATCTGGGGATATTTTGGTTATCACAGCTTGGTGACGGGGAGGGCTGCTGGTAGCATCTATAAGGTAGAGGCCAGTAATGAAGTTCAGCTTGCTACTGTGCACAGGGCAGCTTCCACACCAAAGAAGTACCTGGCCCAACATGTTAATGGTTCTGAGAATGAAGTCTGGTTTGTGTGACAGGTAGCTTTAAATATCTCGTAAGTTGTCAAATTCATGCCCCTAAGGTAAATTTTACATTAGTTTTCAAACATAGTGTAGATTTAAACTTTACCTTTTGTGAAACTAATATACATTATATTAGCTTTGTCTGTGTTGTATTAAAACATTGGGTTTTTAAAGTAAGATACACACAGCAGTTTTCTAATAAGCGCATTTCTCTTCAAGGCTCTGGCCAGCTCTTCTCCCCTTTTGTGAGTGCCCTCTGCTGGTAACTTGTTTGCTTTTATAAAAAGTAACAATGAAATCCTAAGTTTGGATAGTTTTCTTATTTTCATCTGTGGTTATAACCTGTAGTTACATCAGTTTGTAAATATATCAATTTTATTTCAAAGTCTTATTTTATATAATTTTTTAAAAAGTGTTTAAAGTACTAATTTTACTCGTTAATATTACTACAGAGATTATTGTGTGGACTAGTTAGGTCTTCCGCATTAAAGAATTAGGTGAATTCAGTATATTGAAGAAAGGAAATGGTAGTGTAGGAGAACACAGCATGGCTCTATTGGTAATGTTGATTGACCTTATTTTGTCAGAAGAACCAAAACCTGTAAGTGTCTCTGAATTTCTTTGCATGTACTCCAGAGCTAATTTAGAATATAAGTTTTACAGAATGTTTACAGGGTATGTTAGGAAAGGCTTTTTCACAAATGACAAACTATGAAGGTTCACATTTCACAGATTTTTCTAGGCTTGTGGATTAGTTGTGGAGCATCTTCTTTTTGGAATACTGCAAAATTCAAGTGCTCCATATAGGTCAATTAAGAATAAGTAATTACGGGCTGGGGATGTAGCTCAGTGGCATAAGCGCCTGCCTGGCATAGGCAGGATTGTGAGTTTGATCCCCAGTACTGCAAAAAAAAAAGCAATTACTTAGACTTCAGTGGTAAAATTTATTGGCAGTATTTTGCCTTGGAATTTTGTAAACACAAAGCTTTAGAAATATATAAGTGGAAGTTGATAGTGGAAATAAGTCAAAGGTAAAAAAAAATTTTTATGGCCAGGCATGGTGGTGCATACCTGTAATCTTAACATTCAGGAGGCTGAGGCAAGAGGATCACTTTGAGTGTGAGGCCAGCCTGGGCTACATAGTGAGTTCAAGACCAGCCTGGACTGAGTACACAGCAAGACCTTGTCTCAAAAAATGCAAACCATTTCCTAGGGTCCTGGTTTTAACAATGCAGCTAATCCCTTACTTCAGAAAATATTATTCAGTGCTCACTTTATAACATGCCATCTTTATGGCCCTGGAGATATATTGAGGAGCAGGCAGACAGATCTCTGCCTTCATGAAGCTTACAGGTCTGAAGATTTTGAAGAACAGTGTATTAAGTAGTAACCCAAGGCTTTTATACTTTAGAAGAACATTAAGTGTCTTCATGTCTTACCTTTACTGTCTCATAGGCCCTAGGATTATGAAAGCTATGTTATTGTAATCTTGATATAATAAAATTAGTAGAAATGAATAGTAAAGATAAAATGTTTGCGAGGATTAAGGAGAAACATAACAAACACCATAGAGAACTTTTTCAACTTTCTGTTTTGAAAAACTTCAGCCCAGCGGTTGAAAAATAGTAAAAAATAGTAAAATAGTAAAAAATAGTACAATGAGTAACTTACCCTTAAACTAGATTTCCTAGTTAATATTTGCCTTAATTGCTTTCTCTGGATCTACATGTGTGTGTGTGTATAAATTTGAGATAGGATTGTATAAATCCTATCTCAAATAGGAGAGATAAATATATAAATTTGTACACACAAATGAGTACATATTCTTTTATTTTTCCTGAGCTATTTTGAGAATGTTACATATCTTAAGATCCTTTATCTCTAAACTCTTTTAAGATAGAGATTTTTATCCTTCCTGCTGTCTTGTTTCATTAAAGTTTTACTGGAGCATAATCATGCTTAGGTTTACATTTGGTGAAAGGCTGCTTTTGCGTCATAGTACGCGAGTTGAGAAGTTACAACAGAGACCAAAGCCATAAAATGTTTACTCTCTGGTCCTTTACGAAGTTTGTTGCTTGTGTTTATTTGTATGAGCATAGACTCATGAACTGTTTCTTTTTATTGGATATGTTGAAGTTCATTATTGTAGTTACTGGTTTTGATGCTCAGACTTGCTTTTCTGGCCAGTGAAACCCTTTCCAAGCTGGCTTCTGCATCCTTTCGACCTGTCCTCATCAGTCTTTCTGCTTTCTTTGCTGGTATAGTGGTTCCAGGTTCATCTGTTCTTTCCCTGTCCCCACCCTGCATGCAGCTGTTTATCCAAGGAGCGCTACTTCCTTTTAGTAGGGATAGTATTTAGAAATCAAGCTCTAGATGAGGTGTGTTTTTTTGCTACTGGAGTGTTGCTGCTTCTAGTCTTGCAACACAGAACTAGGAAACTTATGTTATTAAAAAGTTACAAGTTTATTATTCTTCCTTTGTTTCCTCTGTATCTTTTTACCATAGTAAAAACCTTGATTCTTTGGTATATAAGTTTTAATGTGAAGCTGCATACTCTGAAATAAAGATGATAATGTCAGTCTTCTTTGTGTTTTGTTTCATTTTGGTTTTTTTGAGACAGGGTCTTGCTATGTAGACAGGGTCTTGAGACAGGTCAGGCTGGCCTCAAACTTGCAGCAGTCCTCCTATTTTAGCCTCCTGAGTGCTGGGATTATAGGCGTGTGCCAATTGTAAATCTTGGTTCTTGCACTATTGCCTTAAGTAACAGAGATTGAGTGAATTAACAGTTTCCTTACCTCTAGAATTAGTATGAAAAGACTGAGGTGGCTGGATGTAGTGATGGTCCATGCCTGTAAGCCCAGCACCTTGGGAGGTTGAGGCGGGAGGATTACAAGTTTGATGACAATTTAGCAAAATCCTATCTCAAAATTAATGGTTGGGCGGGAGTATATATGTAAAAAAACCAAACAGTGAAAATACTGAGCTCTGGCTGTGCAAAAATGAAGACATCAAGCGCCTGCCTGGCAAGCGCAAGGTCGTGAGTTCAGTTCCCGGTACCAGAGAAAAACCAAAAACAAAACAAAACAAAACAAAAAAAAAAAAAAAAATGAAGACATCTTTAACAAAGAGACAAGACAAAGGAAGACTACTTGGTTCAATTAATAGGAAGTAATTTTAAATATGAATTAGGAAAAAAGTAAACATTCAAATAGAATTGAGAAGCAAGCTAAAAATATAAATAGCTAGCCTGTCTCCAGATTTTAAAATGCCATAAACATATAGTACAGGTTCAGCCAATAACGTTTTATACTTTTACATTCATTAAGATCAGAATGATAAAGGCTCTGGAGAAATTTGCACTTTTTATGCTGTAACAAGAATAAACTGTTAGAGCCAGGTATGGTGGCGCACGTCTGTAATCCTAGCACTTGGGAGGCTGAGGCAGGAGGATCATTGCGAGTTCAAGACTAGCCTGGGCTACAAAGTGAGCTCAAGGCCAGCCTGAACTGCACAGTGAGACCCTGTCTCAACAACAACAAAAAAAAAAGACAAAAAGAATAAACGGTTAGAAACTTTCTAGAGGTCAGTTTGGAAATACATATGAAAATTTAAACTTCATGTCCTTTGATGAGGCAACTTCACTTCTCAGAAAGTTAGACCAAGATTTAATTGGATAGTTGATTAAAATATGTTTACAGGAATGCTTATTGTAGTGCTGATTGTGATTTTTTTAAGGGAAGTAATGTACATGTCTACAAGTAGCAAATGAGTGAAATAAATTAAGAGTATGTCCACACAAATTATAAGTTGTTTAAGAGAATTAGGTAAATTTATGTGTATTGACATTGAAAAATGCCAGTTTTTCTCTTATATAAGAGAAGCTGGGTGACAGCACATTGTGTTGAATTCTGTTGATCTAAAA